GTTCATTTCATGATGAGAGATTCAGCACCGATAAAGGGAAAGGGCAACTTCACACATAGTTAAACTATGGAACTCATTTCACAAGATGCAATGATGGCCATCAATCCAGAGGACTTGGAGGAGAAAGCTTTCACTGGCTACTGGTCTTCACAGCTATAATGCAGCCTCCAGTATCAGAGGTTGTATGTCTGTGGAGCTTGGGCAGGCAGGTGCTATTGTGCTCCTGTTCTGTTTGTGGGTTTCCATGGGAAGCTGGTTTGCTGCAGTCTCAAGCACCTCCGGTGGACCCCTGTCCTTGTCCAGCATGGCTCTTTTTATATTCTTAAGTCTGGAGGAAAGTTCTGCAAACATTTCAGTGCAAACATTACAATTCAAAGTATTATAGAAACACAGAAACAGAGCAAGTTAGAAGGGGTCTCCCAGGCCATCTAGTCTGACCCCAGGCTCCAGCTGGCGCCACTGATGACATGCCTACCATGTGCATGTCCAGCCTGTCCGTGGGCACCCTCACTAATGGGGCTTCAACCACCTCCCATGGAGGCCCATTTCATACCCTTGGGGTTCTAACTGTCAGAAAATACTTCCTGGCATCCAAATTCAACCTTGGTTCAGTTTGTTGATTAGAACCTACAAGCTAGTAAATTCTTCATGATAAAATAAGATGCTTTGTCCTAGTAAACGTTGATGTCTCAGCCCAATATAGCTTAGTCTTCATACTCTAGTTCCAGGATGGGCAGAAGGTAGATCTGAATCTTTTGGTAAACTTCTGAGTGATTTGCAGTAGATCAACAAGGATATCTGACTCCCAATTGTTTAAATAGCATTTCAGCCCACCACCCTGAGTGATACTGTTGAAGGGAGCTTGAGAAAACCATGCCTGGGTGTTTGCATGGAAGGACTGGAGCTTGGTTAATTTCTAATACTCAAATTCCTGGACTCAAAATGCTTTCATTCAACGTGTATGCCTTTGGCAAATTGATCAGATTGTTGGATCTCTGGTTAGTGAAAAGCAGAAGAGATCCAGCAAGCCTAAAGTCTGTCTAACCCTGCTTTACCAGTTACAGTCAACTCTGGAAAGAACTATTAATTAGCATTTAAAATGTGCCTGCATTTCTTCCTAGTTACAAAACAATCTGGACAAGGACAATCTGTGTTAAACACAATATAGAAACAGATTAAACCCTAATTTGACATGCATATCTGAAGCAAACAGTAAATGAAACCAGTCAAGACTGGAATGAAAAGCACTCTATACAAATGGATTGGCCTTTTAAAAAGAAGGTTGCTTATTTATTTATTGGTTTATTCATTGCCGGGATGTGTCCAGTTTTATATTTTTTGTATTGTTATTTATTTGTTGGAAGCTGCCCTGAGGCTTATGCAAACGGGGCGGCATACAAGAATCCCAAATAAATAAATAAATAAAGTTAGTTATCTAAAGTTTGGGTCAACACATTTTGTTCTTTCTTAAAGGACTTATATATTTAATTTATTCCCCAGCTTTCTGTTTAAAAACTGCTTAAGGTTCCTTAAAAAAAAAAAAAAAGGCACCCAGCAAAGAGCATAACAATTAAGCTTTGTGAAGGTGAAGGCATCTGTTAGTTGCATACTTTTAGAAAACTCTAGAAGAAGTCCAAGCACCAATTTCTAATGTGTTTTTCTTTCTTACTGCATGTTTCTCTAGCTTCCAGTTTTCATCCTATTCAGAAAAGCAATGGCACAGCTAGCCCTGGAACCTGGAGCAGAAGTCCAAAAGGCCCTTGATTGAAGCAGGGGAGGAGAGCTTCAGGACAGCAGAAGCAAACTTTACTTATTCCTGAAATCTGGATGGTGCTGTGATTTAAATGACTCTAAAATGCAAAATTTGTGCATCTGGATCCTGTGATGCTTGCCCATTCTTGCTGGCAAAACCATTCTACCTTTGCTGGGTTGGCGTGGTAAATGGTAACTCTGAGATCTTGCCAAAGATTCTTATTTGGATTGAGGTCTGGGCTTTGACTGAGCTATTCCAAGTCATTTCAGGTTCTTGCTTCTAAACCGCTCCAGTGTTACTTTGGCTGAGTGTTTCAGGTCATTGTCCTGCTGGAAGGTGAACCTCTGACCCAGTTCCAGGTCACTTGCAGTCTGAGACCAGTTTTCCTCTAGAATAGCCCTGTATTTAGTTCCTGTAATCTAGCTTTTGCTTACTATTGACCCTGCCAAGGAAAAACATCCATACTGCATGGTTCTGCCACCACCACACTTCACCATGGGGATGGTGTTCTCAGGGCAATGAGCACTATGATAAACATCATGTTTTGTGGGGAGGCTAAACAGTTTGATTTTGGTCTCAACAGACCAGAGAACATTTTGCCACTCATTTGCTGTGTTTCCCATGTGCCTTCCTGCAAACTTTGATACAGGTTTATTCAGCAATGGCTTTTTTGTCATTCTTCTCTGGAACCCAGCTGTGGTGATGGTTTTCCCATAGAGGGGATCTCCCATTGACCGCTTGTTTTTTTTCTCTAACTAAGGTCCTCCTTACTTGGTCACCGAGTTTATCCAGACAATCTTCTTTAGGCAGAGTAATGGTTGAGCCATATTCTTTCTATCTTGTAATAATGGATTTAATGGCACTCTGGGGAATGTTCATAATTTGTCTTGATTTTTATAACCTAACCCTGATCGGTGCTTCTGCACAAACATATTTTAGAGCTGTTTTAATAGCTCCTTGGTCTCCATGAGGCTGTATGTTTAGAAGTGCTCGCCAACAAATTCTGGGGCCTTCAAGTAATTTGTGTATTTAATCTGAGATCATGTGGCACTGAAGTTGCATCAAGGGGGATGGGGAAAGAAATGGTTGTGAAGAATCAGAAAAAATGTGGAGAATGGCAACAGTGTGTAACACATTGTGTAAAGCATCCACAAACTAGCATGAGCAAGGAATCAGAAATGCACAATAAAGGCCTTGTGTAGAGAGGCTCAAGGCTATTACATATTTCTTGCAGACCAGAACAGAACTGGCACAAGACACTCCAACTTCTACCCAGATACAATTGAGTCTAGTGCCATCTAGTGACTGGAATGCTGGGAGCCACAGGACTTATTTATGTCTGCAGTACGTAATGACACTGTCCATACAGAATTGATGCATTCAGTGATGCACAACATGGACTTGGTTATGGGAAGTGGAAAGTTAAAGGGCTGGTTAGAAGGAAAGATGTTTATTGTGGGTAGCTTAAAAGGCCAGTGGGAAAAGATGAAAATGGTAGATTTAGAATGCGCCATCAAGAGCCTAACACACCAGCAACTTATAATTATTTTTTTAACTTAACGTTGTAAGCCGCCCCGAGGCTTCAGCGAATGGGGCGGCATAAAAATGTTTTAATAAATAAATAAATAAATAAACTTAAGAAGCAGGCTGCAGATGCATCACTAAAAAAGAGGACACATGTTTGCATATAGTAATTTATGCCTGTAGTATGAAGAATAGAAATAGCTAAAATAATTTAAACAGAAATGCTATTTCAGTTTACCAGAGTAGAAGAACTGACCAACTGACCAAGAAGAACTGACCAAGTGACCAACTGCATGCTCAGTTTTCTGTCCAAGTGATGATGGTTGATGGGCAAACTCAAAGCTACCAGTCTGAGATGAACTGGACTGCTCTCCAGACAGAGGTACCTGGAACCTCTTTCTCTCAAGGGACAAATTACAAAAGGAAAAGCTCTCACTCTGGTCCATCTGTGAGTGGAGCCAAAGGCCGAGTGGGAAAAAGTCAAATATGGTAATTATCATTTAAAGCCTACTCAGAAGTAAGTAGGACAAAGCTGCTGTGTCGGAACCACTCAGTACCTTGTTCAGTTAGCATCCCTAATGCCAAGCCTCTGGGTGTCTGTTTAAAAGTAGGTAGTTTTACCTGCCTGCAAAATGCACACCTCACTTCTATGCAATAGTTCCTGCCTGCAACATGCATGGTTCAAATTCTTTGCAAGGCTCTGTGCTTTGCAGGGTGTTTAAAGCTGAATTCTTTAAATACCCATTTATCTCAAAACAATGAGTAGAGATAACAGCAAAATAAGCTTGTAGGCCAGATAGAGGTTCATCCCAGAGGTTCCCCATCCTAGCAATAGAGGATTGCTCTCTATAAACTAGAACCCATGGTTTTAATTGAAAAGCTAAAAGGAATTTGTGGTCAGAGAATGATCAGATATGTTTTTGGGAAAACATCTTTATTAATTGTTGATGGCTCCCTATCAATGGGAATGGGAGAATGCTTGTAATTTTAGGAGAAGAGGAGAGAAGGAGACCCAGTGGGACAAACTTTGAGAAAACGGCATTGTTCACAATACTGTCAGAAGAGGATTGCACTTTAGCTAGTCGTATACAGTAAAAGAGCCACGATTATTAGTGCTAGGAGCCACCCATCTGGAAGCAGCTTCGGTGCAGATTTAATGCATCAAGTTTTCAAATATAACCTAGCCCTGCCTTCTGTGTAATCTGTTAGACAACAGCTTTTGCTTCTGAGTTCCTTGTATAAATCTCTCTGCTCATTTGGTGCTGAGCTGTTTCTAAGAAGAGATCATGAGAAAATCCAATTTAGAAAAACACTCCTGAAGAAGACCAGAGGGGAAAAAGCAAAGCAAACAAATTGCAAAGGAAATTCAAACACAAGATAAGCTTTGTCTATATGATAAGATCCAGTTTTCAAGTAGTATGTGGAAATGACTGGAAGGCTTATTATCCTGCAATCAAAGCCTCATTCCAAGGCAAAAAAAGGCATGGCTTTATCTAGAGCTACCTTGATGGGTGAAGAGTGTTATTTCTTATAGCAAGAGAAGAAGTCAAAACATAGCTCTGGATCCAAACCAAAAGAACATAAAGAAGGAAAACCTCAATGAAAATAGTGAACAAGTGGTAGACCAGTGGCTCATTCCTTCCTGAGCACATTGCTGACATTTAAATAAAAAGGAAACTTTACCTCTGAAGAGATCAACAGCCCTGCCTTTGTTTTACTGAGGATGGCTGATGTGGACTTGAGGATGTCTGGTGCCCCCTTTTCTCTTTCTTTTTCAGGTGGTGGTTTCCTTGCGATTTATGAAATAGGTGTGATTCAGGGCTTATTGGAACAAGCCCCTGAAATCTTGAGATCTGCACCAAAGGTCTATGGAGCATCTTCTGGATCAGTCATAGCAGCGGCTGTGGTGTGCGGACTTAGTCTTGGTAAGCAGTGTGTAGGCTTGGGTTATTTTAGATGTTGTTAAAACGGTGGTTTTGTGGCTGGCTGGAGGCTGACTGTGTCAAAGAGGATTTTTTCTCATGTCCTGTCCTCAAACTGTCATTCCTCTGTCAGTGCAGTATAAAGAGGTACTGCTGAGATCTCATATGGATTTCCATATGTTATATGGAGAAAGTAATACTAGTTCAGTTTCCAATTGTCATAAAAATGCCAGTTCATCACCATGCAAATATTTCTCAGCTCTGATGCTGAAGTGCATTCAGTGACATATTAACAAAGCAATATCTCAACATTTTCCATTGCAGAATTGTTTTTGCCGGAGGCTGGGGGGACCTAGTAAAAACATTATTTTAAACAAAAACTCTGCAGAGTTTTGAACACCTATTCAGGGGGCAGCTTTGAAGAAAGTCTTGTAATCAGTATACTTCAGAGTATCTATTTAATAAACAGCTGGACAGACCTTGTATTCAGTCTGGTTTTTTCTTGGTACCATTGCATCTCAGCCTCTTACTGGGATGCTCAAATATCTGAATATCTTTAGAATAAAATATCAGTGTGCAAATGTAAGTGAGGGATTAGATATAATTGCAGCCCTGGTTGTTTTTTTTAGTGTAGTTGACAGTGAAGTTACTTTAATGCCAGAGACACTTATTCAGCTACACAGTGACCCAGATTCTCATCATCTGTCTATTTATCTTATCTGAAGTATTCTTTACCCCTGCTCTTCAGCCAAAAAGGTTCCCAGTTCTGTTGCTGCATATTCATGATTTTGCCTCTGATTGTCAGAGTTACTGGCTGGTTTTTACATATTATTGAGCCATACTTTTCATTAATTATGGTTTACCTAAATACAGAATTGTTTTTCAGATGAGCAAAGATCCCACTGATGGTTTTCCTATTTCTGGTATATTTATCTCCCACCCATTTTGGCAGACTTTTAGAGTTTTGGGGCAGTTCTTGCTGGATTTCAGTCTAGGCAGCAGCTCAAATAATCCAGAAGCAAGATACATGTAGTTTGCCACTGGGCATGAACCATGCTTTCTTTGTAGGAATAGGCTGAAATACAAAAATAAGACAGTACAATGGCTTAGCATCTGGTCATTTCACAAAAATGGAAATATTTCTATATGATCTCAAGAAATGCAAACAAGATTTAGTGCTTGCTATATTAAGGGCATGGCCAGGCAGAAGCTTTAGATGTGTCTATTTGTGTACCACAAAGAATAAGAAAAGCCAAAGGAATTTGTTCTAGAAAGCCAGTGTACAAAGTCGCACAAAAGACAGGAACCAACATTAGTGAAATATATACATTCTGAAGAAAGAGGATATTATGAAAAGTAACTTGAAATACAACTGAAAGTATTAAATGAACAGTGGAATGGCTGAAAGAGAGCTGTATGCAAGATTGTGTGTGTGTTAACCAAACCATATGATATAAAATATTTCCAACGAGTGAAATTCAAAACCATGACTAAGTGGCAAAAAATAGTTTACAGGATGTTTAGACTATTATTTGGAGAATGCTTAGTAAGAAGCTTGAGAAGCATAGCAGTTACATATTTGTTTCATATGATTCCTCAGAAAATCATTCCTCAAATCCCAAGGATGTTACTTAAATTTCTTCCAATGGACCTCTCCTAAACATGTTTGTAGTTCATTTAATAAGTTCAAGCTTTCCAGGAAAAGGGAATTCCTTAGTGGAAACTCCTCCAAATGAAACAGATTCTATTTTAATTTCTCAAAACAGTGCTTTTTATATGTTTATATAAACATATTTATGTGTATTTATAATTGTTTATATAAATACATACATAGATGGAAAAAAGAATGGGATATTACGGAAATATAGTGTATAGCACGAGCAAGCAAAAAATTCTGTCTCCTGTAGCCACAGTTAAACCAATCAATTATCAATTAAGGTTCAACCACAAAATAATCTAATTCATCAAAAGAATTATAAATACGGTCATAACTTTAACATGAAGTACAAATCTCTAACATTTTTACAAATTCTGTTTTCTTGAATATTAGTTAAATTGCTCATAACAATCTTTTCATTTTTCATTACATTTTTTGACAGATCTTCTGTTTATATAATTGGTTAATTCACCAGTGTTGCATACGCATCTAGCTTGTTTTTCCAATCTTCAGTAGTTGGACAGTCTTCTGCTTTCCACTTTGATGCGATTATAACTCTTGCCATGGTTATTATATATTTACATAATTCTGTCATACTCTTTGGAAGAATCTCTGGTATAATACTCCGTAGCATATTCTTGCGCATTCATAGGAACATTAATTTTAAGAATTTTCTGCATTTCCATATGTATCTGTTTCTAATTTTTAAAAATTTTATCATATCTCCACCACATGTGGTAAAATGTCCAATCTATTTCTTTACATTTCCAGCATTACCCATATTAATATCCATTTTCTGTATATCTTTTGGGGTAATATGCCACCAAAATACATCTGAGACCAATTTTCTTTTTGTTTTATAAGTTTTATTGTTATTTTTCTACTAACTAACAAAAAAAAAAAGAACTAAAAATCATCAATCATCAAAAGCATCAGACCCACTGGGTCAGCCTCCCATAGTTTGTTTGTTTTTTTATCGTAATGCATAAACATATAAGTCTATGCTTAGTCTCATTTCTCTAGCCAATAATAAAAGGATCGTATTAGAGAATTGTTTGTAATCTATCCTAATAGATGGTCTTTAATATTTAATTGCCTTTTCAAAATCCACCAGGTCTTTTATTGTACCTTTTCCAGTTTGAAGTTCCTTTTTCAACCTTGAAACCAGTTGATCCTAAAGAAGCCATTCTAATATTTTTTCCTTCATCTTTTCCTTCATGCCAAAGCTTGATTCCTCCTTGCTGATCGATCATGTCTCCATATATTATACAATCATTATTTTTCCTTAAGTATTTTCCATTGTATGCTTCCATTGGAGACATCTCATGAAAGTTCTGTTTTGCACTTTTGCAAGAGTGATATAATACCATCTTATTATATTTCTTCAGAATGTACATAGCTTCACGCTACTTTGTACACCTCACAAGGAATGGCCCTGGGAAGGGGCTCTACTTTTTCCTGTAAGATACCTGTGCTCACTGAGAAAAGCCAGCTATGAGTACATACACCTATGTATATGTACATAGGTGTATGGACCTACTGGTTATTTTAGCATGTACATTTGTCAGCTTACCATTCCTGTGCTGCTAGCAGATATGGGGAAGGCAATTTTTTTTTTCCTGTATAATTCCAAGTCTGAGGCAGAGTGACTGCACAATAAAAGCTTTGTTTAAATGCAGTCTTGATTATCCCAAGCCCTTCTAATGTTGATTGCCTAATTGGGGAGGTAAAAGTGATTTTGTTGCTGGAAAGCTGAAACCCTTTTGTGATGGCAAAGCACTCAGAAAGCTAGCAGTATGCTCTGTTTGCCCATCCCTGAGGTCTGTGGAATGGGAGGGGTTGAAATTGCTCAGCCAGTCAGTCTTTCGAGTTGGACCAGTTTGTAAATGTCCAGTCTTTTAGACTGGTAAATGGCATACTGTACATTGTGTTCTCATTTAAACAGACAGTAAAAACTGTTATGGTCTTGAGTGACAGCAGAATGATGAAGGCTTTCACTAAAGAGTGATAAACATCTCTATAAAGCAGCACAAACTTGTATAATGAGAGGGAAACAAGTGTGTGTAGGAAAAGCCATTCTTATTGTCCTAAAACCTCCATCTAGTTCAAAGGACAGAGCTGGGAAACGTTGCTGGAAAGCAATGACCAATGGGCTAGCTGAACATTAGTGGTGGCTGACTCCTTCCACATTGGCAATTTTAGCTTACTGTTTCTTTGATTGCATTTCTGAGCATATTAGCCTCCTAACAAACCCCACGGGACTCATACATTTTAATTCGGAATAACTATGCTTGGATTCTTTATTTCAGCCCGGGATGGACTGCTAACTGGATGTTATCTCAGTGAGTCCCCATTCTCAGCTCCCAAGTCCAAGAATCATCTGCTTTGATTCAGGAATTTAGGGACATCTTGTTAATTTGGGCTCTAGACCACAAGTTGTTCAAGATCTCCTTAGTTTATAGTTATAAAGATGGAGCAATTGGCATAACAGCTTTCTAACCATATTTTGTTATCTCAGTCATAGTCAGATAATAACCTCACTTGTATCCTACACTGAATATCTACTCAAACTTCCATTACAGCCCTAATTTTCAAAGATATTCAGGCTACTTGACTATTTTTGATCCATCTAATCTGTCTTCCTGTTCCTTATTTCTAGCGCAATCTCAGTGGTCATTGCATTGAATCCTGAGAATGTGAATGGAGCTTGCTTAGCTACCCAGCTCCATTCCAACAGATAAATGCTTAAGGAAACTCACAGGTAGTGTGACTGTTAATCATACATGCAGAACTTCTCCTCAGCAGACACCCTGAATCTTTAATGGCTGCAAGCCAGCAGATACTTGTTAAGTGGAGCATTTCCTTTGATGGGGATGTGATTATGGTTTTGCAATTTTTATAAATGTTGATCTAACAAATGATGATAGGGAATAGTGTTGAATTTGGGTCTATTTCTACCTATTTATAGAACACATAGTAACTTTTGCACCATGCAAATAAGAAGTTACCCTTTCTAGCTATTTGTACCCAAATTGACACATTCCAACACAAAATTCCCTGTTGCAAATTATCAGCAAAACAACATTTCTATACCATCTGTAGCAAAAGCTCTCTGTGCAGTTTACAGCAAAGTATAAAAATAGTAAAATAGAATAGATAAAAACTTTAACAAGAATTAAACATTATTTTTATTATATAGACTCATTTTCCTTGACACAGTGTCAAATTCAGAAGCAAAGAGTAAGCAGAAACAGGATTTGTAAATACTTGGTACCAGGCCTACATTTGTCAAGATAATGGGAATATTAGAGGAGGTTTCTCATCCTCTCCATGCCTGTCCATTCTCCCGTGCAAATGACTGGCTAAGGAGATTACCCTTCTCCCAAGCCTGGCTTACTTCTGGTAGAGATTGCAGCTAAAAGGGGGAAAATGTTAGAATTGGTGAGTGATTAGGGAAAGGAAGAATCAGCCAGCAGATGGGGAAGTAACAAGTGTGTTGCTTCATTTCTGCCCTGAAAATGTTTCCCTCCCCAGCATTAGCATTATGAGGAAAAGAGGAGGTTGGGGGCTTCTGCTAATGCCTGAAGGCCATCTTCTGAATAAAAGTGATTAAGGAAACTAGGAAGGGGAAGATCCAGAATGCACATTGGTGGTATTTTTAACAGGGACATCACCACAGGAGGTAAAAGTCTCTCACCAGCAAATCCTAGCTGAACAGGAATAGATATCTGGAAGAAATTCTAGCTGATGAAGGGAGCTGGTTTGTCTCAAGAAGGAGATCAAGGGACAGTGCTACCAGATGAGACATCTGACCTCATTTCTGGAATTGTAAAGAGGCTCAGGTGTCATAGTCTTTCACTTATAACCTTCCTGTTTTCCCTGCTTCCATCTATTTTCATTCCTCAGTTTTGTTTTTCAGGGGAGAAGACTGATTAGCTGCACAGACTCTAAGGCTGTTAGTATTAGGAGTCTGGAAGCATGACTGTAGCAAAACTGTGGCCAGAAACCCAATCTGTGGCCAGAAAACTCCATCCTTCAGATGTGCTGGGACTGAAATTTGGTACTGCAAAGAGTCTTAGGTTTTGTAGAAGGGGAATGAGTTAGAACTGTCAATCCCCCCCACTCTTCTTTACAGCTATTAGGGACTTAAGGTTCTAATACTCAAAGGACCAACCTTTGAAAGTGGGTGTGTTAGTTCTGAGGTTGTCATCTTCAGAGCCTTGGCTAAAATTAAGCTTTTGGGAGACCAGATGAGTGACTAGTGATGGTGCCCTCTTGGCTTGTATTGTGTGATAATTTCTATACCTAAGCTGAAGGACTTGTGTCATTTTGTCACATAGAAGGCTGGGTTGGAGATGGGAAACAGAAATATGGAGTGCCATAAAAAGTCTGATGATGGAAAGCTTGAAACCAAATGTCAATCCTCCTATCAAATTCTAGCCATTTCTGATCAGAGCTTCTCTACATAACACCTTTATTTTGTGCTTAACCCACACTTTACCAAGGCTTCTGCTTCTGTTTATGTTGCCAGGGATGTAGATTGTCTTTTACACAAGCTTTCCCCTCCACACACACACACACACAACCTACACACACTTTCTTCTCTTTCTTTTCATTACACAAAGTGGTGCTGTGGGATAGAGTGGAACCAAACATTATCAGGTGGCCTCTGTTAGCAAATAATGTTTCCATTCAGGAACAATACTGAATTTTCCTTATTCTTAAAAAAAACCCTTCAAAATAGTTATAAAATATGGATGCTGATGCTGAAAAGAGCCCACAAATCACAAGTGCATAATAAATGCCTCGTGTAGAGAAGGTCTTAAGAATGGCTATCTATAATGGCAGTTGGCCTCATGGAGGAGAGTATGGTCTAAAGGAACATAAGACATCCACCATGTGGAAGCTAAGCAGGTGTTGGGCTGGCTTGAACTGGGAGGGGAGACCACCTGGGAACCACATGTAGCCACCTGGAGTTCCACAGTGGAAGAATGGTTGGGATGTAAACAACAGACATCAAAGTTGAACCAGATTAGGCTCTGTTCATAGGAAGAGCTCCCCTGGGTAACACAAACCAACACAGAGTTTTCCGTGTTGTGCTGGGAACAAATATCTAAAGCATTCTGGACCTTGTTCGTAGCCCAGGCAAGACAATGCCCTTGATGCTTCATTCTCTGGTGTTTCACTCAGTAAGATCCCCATTCTTTTCAGAGCACTAAAGGATGGCGGGCTGCATTCTTTATTGCTATTATATAGCAGCTATCCTCAAGTCGATGCCCTCCCGAAGTTTTGGGCTACGATTTCTAAGCTTCCTGAAGTCCAAAACACATGGAGGGTACCAGGTCGGCAAAGGCTATCCTATATTATTCCTTCCAATAAGCACTTTACTACCTGTTGCAGTAGCACTTCCAGTGAAGATATACTTCACTGGTCGTTTATTTTTTCCTGTCCCATACAGCAGGAGGGTTGCCTTGTCTCACGACACTATTACTTGTGCTTCTTCTGCTTCTCTAAATGAATTGTAAGCCTCTGAACACAGAATGTCGTATTATTAGGCAATGCCAGCGGTACCATATCCTAAGAACTGCTTGCTATTATTTTTTTGCTCTTCCAGATGACTTAAAAAGATGTTTATATGGGGCTGCAAGAGATGCCAGGAGAAACTTTCTTGGTCCCCTTGCCCCTGGTTGCAGTGTGCTTCGGATCCTACAGCAGAGATTGTACCAAATTCTGCCAGAGAACTCCCACCGGATGGCCACAGGAAGACTTTATGTTTCTCTCACCCGGCTGGTGGATGGCCAAAATGTGGTTGTTTCAGAGTACAATTCCAAGGAGGAGCTAATTCAGGTGGCAGAAGCCCCACCCCTTTTCCTTTTTAAAAGCTCGTTTGTGAAAAATATGTACATCTAAACTAGAATTTGACTTTAAACAACATGGTTTGTCTTGTATGAGTATGTAAATTAGAGTTTAGAGTATGTAAATTAAGGTATAAACTTCAAGTTAAAAATTTGAATAATCAGACACTGTAAAAGATAGAAGAAGTGGTTGTTTGAATACATATATAAAAGAATGCAATGACATATATAGACTCTGGGCTTCTCTACATGCAGCATATAATCTTGTGCTTTACCAAGGCTTCATTCCATTTTCTTTGTCCAACGGTCAGAATATCTCACAAGGCTTTCTTTCCCCCCAGAGTATTTGCTCTATGTGTTCCATTTCACAACGCAGGAGGTACTATAATAGAGAACTGTGGATTTTAAAAGGTATTGATATGGAGCTGCAAGAGATGCTGTGAGAAAGTAGGCTCCTACAGCAGATAATGGTGGCATCCAGGAAAACAGATGACTTTCCTCACTGGGCCAAATGGCTAGAAAACATGAGAGAGATCCTGGAGGATGATAGTTGTGAAATGGCTGTGCAGACTTCCCTGAGTGAGGGATCATGAGCTTCGTGTGCAGAGGCCCTCTTTAATCAATGAAACTTCATTGGAAAAAAAATCTGAGAATGTGCTGTAGCACTGCCTTATAATACAGCTCATGTCCCTCCTCTTCCTGCAGGCACTGATCTGTAGCTGCTTTGTTCCAATCTATACTGGATTCATCCCTCCCTCCTTCCGAGGTGTGGTGAGTTTGCTTTAGCAAAATATCAAGCTGAGGTTGGTTGCTCTATCTTTTGAAGTTGCTCTCAGATGCTTGCAGAAAGTGGCTTACAGCAGAATGTCCAAGTTCTGTGAAGCCACACATGCTGACTTCTGAACTCTGCCTTAAGCTGGCCTTCAGGTTTACTGCAGCCATTTTATTCTGATTGCCAGTGCCTGCCAATTCTGCTCTTCTTCACTAAACCCTAAGGAATTCCATCAACAGAATTGTCAGCTCTATTTCAGGCAACACTTCCCAGTCAGAAATTACAGTTCTTATATGCCTACAGCCCCAAGACTTTGCTAGCAATAAAACAAAAGAAATGCATAAAAGATACCTTTGGAGCAAAATTAAATGCCAGCACTTCAATGCAGACTTGTCTAAAAATGCCCACCCTGTTAGCAGCTCAATTTCATCTTTGTTTCACCCAGCATATCTGTTATCATCTCAAAAATGTTGCTGTTGCTTTCTCTGCAGCGGTACGTTGACGGAGGCTTCACTAACTTGCAGCCCCATTCGGACATGGAAACCGCCATCACAGTGTCTCCTTTCACGGGAGAGATCGACATCTGCCCTCGGGACTGCCCAGCCATCTTTTACAGCTTGCATATCGTGCATGGCAGCATTCAGATCTCCATAGAGAACTTGTGCAGGATTGGCTATGCCCTCTTTCCACCCAGCTGCCGGGTAAGTTCTCTCAGTTGCCTGGCTGTCCGGGGCACCAGTTTGTAAAATAAAATGCGACCAGCAGAGTCTGGGGCAGCTTTTCCCTTCTCTTCCCCGCTTTGCTTTGCTTTGCTTTGCTTTGCTTTGCTTTGCTTTGCTTTGCTTTTTTTAATAATACAAACTTGACAAGAGGACTAGAAAGTGCCCTACCTTCCATTAGAGTAGGCAAGGGACAAAATGGATTGCTTGGATTGGATCACCACCCCAGTAACAGCAACCCTTTCTACGTCCACTTCAGCTAGGGCTGGGCTATTCTCAGATCTTACACGAGCCTCTTCAGGCTTAAGAAAGAGGGATTCAGATAATCAGACCTTATCTCCATCCACTGCGAGAAACATTAAGGAGTAGCAATTAGCCCAAGTGGAAGACTCTGGAATAAGTACTGAGATGTTCCGGGAACTGTAGAGCTAAAGATGGAGAGAAAGGAATAAAAAGGTATGCAACATGTAAAGAAAAACACAACCGAGACTGTTCTGTTCCTGATAATTGAGTTTTACTTTGGCCCTGAAGGCTACAAATAGCTGGAGATCATATGTCCCTGTGCGGCTACATCACTACCTGCCATTTCTGCTTAGGCAATTGGAGCTGTCACGCAGTTGGAGCACCAGAAGAAAGTGGAGCTTGTCAGTGGGGCTCAGACAGAACCTTGCATTCTTGACAGTAAAAGCTTTCAAAAGGAGGGTGGGAAAGAGCATCAAAAGGGATGACTGAGGCCAGGGGGGATTTAGTGGCATAAAGGGTTTATTTTACACAATCTGAAAAGTTTCTGTTAACATTGCCAGACTCTGATCTAAGTGCAAACACCACATATTTGGGCATAGCTCTGGAGTGGTTCTCTACACAGCAAACAGAAATGCACTGAGACGCTTGCATCTTTGTGTCTTTGCCAAGGGATAATCATTGTGCAAACCCAGCAACCAACTGTGATGGATTCTGGGATAGCAGCATTACACAAAGCGTTTTCTGGAAGCTGTCCCAGGGCCAAAAGGAAAAATCGCAAATGATGTCCTGTGACTGTGAACTCCCTGTTAACACTTTATTAGTGTAAAGCAGTCTATCAGCCTCATGTTAACCTGAATTGTCTTATATCAAGAGATTCAATGTTGGACTCTCCCCAAAGGCAGGTATGACTTGGGCCCATTGCAGGGAAGGACAACAGGTATACAGCTTCCTCCACCCCCATCTTGCAGCCCTGCTATACCCAGATGTATTTTAATAATTACAAGAGAAAAGAAACTGGCACTCCAGAGCAGCTGTACTGTGCCAAATTAAATGCCTTTCTTTTAATAACTATCAACTCCAGGTGGCTACTTGGACAATAAAGGAAGTGGCACCTGGGAGAATGTGGTCAGCCCTATAGGAACAGAGGAAGCTGACTTCTGAAATACTATCTAAGCATAATCTGCTACACTAACTAGCTGTGCACCTTTCTGGTTTCCAACATGAGTCTTTTCCAGCCCTGCCTGGAAATGCCAAAAACAGCACCTTCCCCATGCAAAGCATGTACACTATCACAGAATTATCTCTCTCTCTCCTGTGGCCTTTATTGGGAAAATTTGGATAAATCCTGTCTGAAAAGCATTACTTTTGTGTGCCTTTTTTGCATTGTGGGATCAAATCCTGTCTTCCTTCTCAAAACCAAGCTGTCACTGTTTAAAATGGCATTCTCCCGCTCCTTTCTCTCACCTTTAGCTGTGGGCTACAGTAGACAGGCCATTCAGTCCAAATATACATTGTAAATAGTCATTGTTGGAATTCAAGGAAGTATCTTCCTAGCCCAGGGCTCCATGTACCCTGTCCAATTCAGAATGTCTAGAGTGTAGATAAGAGTCTTGAGCTTATCATGCATAGTTTCTCAGTAGCTTGAATTTACATGTCTTAAGCAGACCTGGAGATGAGTTCAAGCTACTGA